AGTACTATTACCGTATTGCTACGTGAATATCGAATACGTGGATTGCGCGGTGCTGGATTGGGGAGATCATCGGGTTAATTTGCTGGGGATTGCCGATCAAGTTAATGCCAGCCTTATTTCCGTTTTTACGTTGTTTTCTGCTTCTCCGTTTTCCGAACATACTACGAATCCCGCATCATGGTAAGGCCAAAACACTTACAAGTTACAAAGTCCCTACCTAACCTAATTTTGAAATTAGCAAAATAATCTATACCGCACGATGTACGCAAAATCAATTTCAGTAATAAAGTCATTCTCGTGTGTGGCCATACACCGCTCTCGCCGCAGCCAACCGGATGGCCGGGCGCAGCCTACCGTCGGCCGCAGGGCCTACCGCTTTCGTGCCTCCGCTCTAACTAGATTTTTTTTCGGCTTAAGCTTAAGGACTAAGGAGTGTGAACTGTGAAGCTTAATACTCTTTTTCCTATGTTTTTATGTAGATGTCGCAATCTCAATCCATAGAGATGAATTATGAAACTGTGGATTCAAGCAATCCTAATCCACAATCAAGTGCAACTCCAAGTAACACTCAAGACGGTGGCAAAGGAAAGAAGAGGAAATCAATGAAGCCAAGATCGATGGTGTGGGATCATTTCACAAAGTTTGAAGATGACAAGAAAAACATGAAGGCTAAATGTAACTATTGTGATAAGGTATTTGCTTGTGATCCTTCAAAAAATGGGACAACTTCACTTAGGTCTCATGTTTTGACTTGCAAAAAAAACCCTTTTAGTTGTATTGACTCTACCCAAACTCAATTAGACCTAAGAAAGCTTGAAGCGGGAGAAAACAATCTTACCACATGGAAGTTTGATCAAAATGTTAGTAGAAAAGATTTAGCTGAAATGATCATTCTAGATGAGCTTCCATTTAAGCATATAGAGGGCAGGGGATTCAAAAAGTTTTTGTCTAATTTGCAACCTAGATTCAAGCTTCCATCTCGTTTTACAATTTCAAGAGATTGCTATCAAATTTATTTAGATGAGAAAATAAAGTTGAAGCAATTTTTGAAACAAAATAGTCAAAGAATTAGCCTTACTACGGACACATGGACATCTATTCAAAGAATCAATTACATGTGTTTAACGACTCATTTTATTGATAATGATTGAAAGTTGCATAAAAAGATCTTGAATTTTTGTCCGATTGATAGTCATAAGGGAGTAGATTTAGGTATTGCCATTGAGAAATGCTTGATTGATTGGGGAATTGAGAAGGTTTTTAGTGTTACGGTTGATAATGCGAGTTCGAATGATGTGGCAATTAGGCACTTAAAAGATGTGATTAAGAATTGGGGTTATAGCATCTTAGATGGTGAATTCATTCATATGAGGTGTATGGCACATACTTTGAATCTAGTTGTTGTTGATGGGTTAAAACATTTTAATCCTTCAATCGTTCGTATTCGATCGGCCGTTAGGTTTGTGAGGCAATCTCCGGCTAGGTTGAAAAGATTTAAGGAATGCATTCAACTTGAGAAAATTGATTCTAGGAGTTTGTTACAACTAGATGTTGCTACTAGGTGGAATTCAACATACTTGATGTTAGAGTCAGCTCTAAAGTTTGAGAGAGCTTTTAAGAGATATGAGCAAATTGATCCTTTATATAGGAGTGAATTTGATGTAGATCATGGTGATAATGTTGTTGGGCCACCTAATGTTGATGATTGGAAGTCTTGTAAGAAGTTGGTGGGCATGTTGAAAATTTTTTACAATCTCACTTTGCGTATTTCGGGTTCTTTGTATGTGACTTCAAATATTTATTTTGAAGAGATTTATGCTCTCGAACATGTTTTGAAAAAATGGCAACGAAGTGGGGATTTAGATGATTTTACGTTGGCCAATAAAATGAAAGAAAAGTTTGAGAAGTATTGGGGGATATTAAGAAAATGAATAAGTTGATTTATATTGCGACAATACTTGATCCTAGGCATAAACTTGTATTTATTGAATTTTTAATCAATGAATTGTATGGTGATTTGGAGGGTCAAAGAATGTCAAATATTGTCAAGGAATCTATGTATGCTATGTATGATTTCTATTGTCGTTCGTCAACATCTCAAGGTGAAATTGGCCAAGGTAGTGGGAGTCGAGAAATAGATGTGGGTTGTGCAAATGAAGAAATGATTGATGAAGAAGAAATTAGAATAAAAAGAGAGATAATGATGCGTTTTGAAAAATACAAGTGTGATATTGGAGGTGGAGGAAATAAAACGGAGTTGGATAAATATCTTAGTGAAGGTGCTGAAAATAACGAGTGCTGATTTTAATATTTTAGAATGGTGGAAAACCAATTCTCCTCGGTTTCCCATCCTTTCACAAATGGCTAGGGATATATTGGCGGTTCATGTTTCTACTTGTTTCCTCGGAATCGACATTTAGCATTGGAGGAAGGGTTCTTGACTACTTTAGGAGTTCTTTGACTCCTAGCTTAGTGGAATCTCTTATATGTGCTCAAGATTGGATTAAAAATTCATCGACACCAATTATTATTGAAGAAAATTTGCAAGATGTTGAGAAAATGCAAGATGGTAATTTCTATAACTCTTACCTTTTCATTTGTTATTTCTTTCCTTTATATTAATATTAAAAGTTTAATTTTTTTATCTTATAATTTTCAGAGTTACCACTTGCCACTACCTCTATTACAAATGGTTGAATCTTGATGGGTTGATGACTTGATGGTGTTTTGGCGTGATGAATGGTATGTGTAAGTTACTAAGTTTCTACTTTCTAAGTTTGATTTTTTATTTTTGTTGTTTGTGCAAGTTTAGTCAGTAAGTGGGAATTGTAAATTTTCATTTTCATTGAACTAGATAAGAGAACCATAGTAGGTAGTAGCTTATCGCCTCGGTGCCTCGTTTAACCGAATGCTCACCCCTAAGAATAATACCATCAACGAGCATGATTACAAGGAAGAAGATTTCCCCGACTATTATGCCAATGTGCTATCTCCATTGTTTTCTCCTATATATGGTTCTCTCCGTGCGCTATATCTAAAAATAAAATATGCTCGGGAAATGCTATACAATATTAAAACTCGCCATTTCTCATTCGCTTGTTGCCAAAAATATTCATCCAAAACTTTGCCTCCATTTCGATAAACGGTAGCATACTAGATCGTTTTCAATTTAGTCCTTTAATTTTTAAAATTCTCATTTTAGTCCTTGTTGTGCAAAATGTCCCCGATTCTTCAAACATTTATTTTGATTTTTTTTTTCCAATGATAATTGGTTACATTTCTTTTATATACACATTTGCTTTACCAAAACTTACAAAGTCTTTGCAACCATCTCCCGCTCGTTACTATTTAAAATTCTCATTAATTCTTTTAAAATTTTTAATTGACTTAAGAATATATTTGATTTTTTTAATTGAAAATATTATCTATTAAAATTTATCTCATTACTTAATTTTATAAATAATTCCAAAAAACGACTAAAACTTTTTTATAATTAGTTATAAATTTCTATTAATAGTATTCAAGATGCATATAATTTTTTTAAATGTTACATGAATTATGTCTTGTTCTTCTTGAAATTTATAAAAAAAAACAATAATTTATTTTACAATTTTTATATTAAATAAAAACTTTTAAAAATATTTTCTTATATATATATATATATATATATATATATATATATATTATGAGTAAATTATAAATTCTTATTAGTTCAAAAATTGTATAGTTAGTCCTTATGTTTCTAAATTTGTTTATAACTTAATCCTTCCATAACCATTCCCTCGTTTAAGTGTTGAGCTATCCCTACTTCTTTGACAATCAAATTCCACTACAAGATTTATAAAAGAATAAAAATAAACATATTTCAAATACAACTAGGGATGAAAATTTAATTCAAACTTGATGAATATCATCCTAACCAATGAATAGATAGAATATGTTTTACCGATAGTTATCATTTTGAATTGAGTGTGGATATCCAAAATTATTACATGATGGATAATGGATTGAATATGGATATTGTAAAATCCGATTCGACCTCGAACCAATATATATATATATATTATTTAAGTTGAATAATAAATGATACAAGGATAAATGATACAAGGATAATTTATATCCAAAATTTCGATGGGTTAAATATGAATATTTAAATTTCTCACTCAATAGTTAATGAAAAGAATATAAACATTCAAATTTATGATCCGATTGATAATAAATAGAATAGGAATATTCAAAACCCAATTGATGGATACTCATTGTTATTCCTAAATACAACAATCTCATGACGTGTAAAGTTCATTTTACCCTTGTATTAAATGCAATTTCTTCCATTTGTTAATTTTCCTCTAGATTTTTTTACACTTTAATTCTAATACATAATCCTCTAAAAATCTTTCTACTTTTAAATTCTCTCTTTTAATTATTTAAATTCAACTTCAAGTCGATAGATAGTTTTCATTCTTATAATTTAGTTGCAACATCACGTTCCATAATGGTGATTGTTTTCATTTGAGTTGAAGAGTCAAATTAAGTGAAGTTAAATTGCTCAAATTTTTGAAAGACAAGATGTGATAAATACATGAAATCAATTAAAGCTTCACTAAAGAACTACTTTTGAAAGATCACAACAACTAATGAGAATGAAAATTGCGAAATATTTAACATAAAGTATTATACACATAATTATTCCACCGTAGAGTGTAAGAACTATTATGACATAGACATCATCTTATTTTAAAAGATAACAGATTGTTTACAACTTGCAAAGTAATTAATGATTTGTCCTTTCCAAATTCTATCGAAAGAGGGGGAGGGGTAGTTTGAGTATTTTGAAAATAGATGACAGATAAGGATGGTAATCTAACTCTGCTCTAATGGGATCCCATCCCATCTTGTTTGAGGCGAAAATGGTACCTAAATATACCGTAAACGGGGATGGTCATCTCCTTCCCGCTCCACCTTGCCTTTTTACCTTTAAAAAAGACAATTTGACGGGTCCCATCCCGTTCGAGGTAAAAAATGATAGAGAAATTGTGCCTCGAATGAGGCACATCCATCCTTACTTTGTCCCGCCCCATTGCCATTCCTAATTACGGATCCATTGATAAATTAACTGTCGAAGCAGGTCAAATAACTAATTTATTATTTTTTAAAACTAGAGAGATTAATTAATTTTTTCTTAAAAATATGGGGATTAAGCTAAATAATTTACTCGAGATTTAAAAATTTTCTTTACCATCTATTTTATCGTATTCATGAAAACCCATCAAATGAAGTGACCGGGTTTAGAAGCTGAACTCAGACTGATTCAATCCATCAAAGTACCGAACGGTCTAAAAGCCAACCGAAAAATCTATACGCTTTGGTCAAAGAAAACACAGGAACAAGGTGGGGTGGGTGGTGACCACGTTCCATTTACAGCTCCAGAGTTCAGAACCCTTTAAAAATCCCAATTTTTTGTCTATCAGCTCTTCAAAAGTCCATCCCATCACTCTCACATCAATCCCACCAATCAATCAAACCCACCATGGCAACATCATCATCGATAACAACAATCTCTCAGCTGTCTTGTTTCTCTTCAATCAACCGCAGACTACACCGTCTACACCGTCGATCCATTCTATCTCTGCCACAGTCTCCGCGCTACAAGGTACTGAAAAAAAACCCAATCTCTTTCACTTTCTTTTGAGACAACAATGCAAGAAACTGACAGATTTTTATTATTACAGTCATGGATTTTTATGAGTATTAAAGGACATAATAATGGATCACACACTTCAACTTCAAATATCAAAACAAGTAGTACTAATCATAACTCTACAGCTCCCGATGAAGATAAGGGAATCACTGATCCAGTAAAGCGAGTATATGGGTCTGCGAAAATTCATGACTTTTGTTTTGGGATTCCTTATGGTGAGTATTTTTACTTTTATTTCCATTTGGGTTTTGAAAAGTTCGAATTTTTAGTGTTTGCTTTGTTGTTGGGAATATAGTGATGCAGGTTTTTTTGCTAATGGGTGCTTTTCTTTTCTTTTTTCAGGTGGGATTGTTTTAAGTGGGGGGCTTCTTGGTTTTGTCTTCTCTAGAAATGCTGTGACTTTAGGTACTGGCGTGTTGTATGGAGGTGCTTTGCTAGCTCTCAGTACCTTTAGTTTAAAGATTTGGAGGCAAGGGAAATCAAGCTTTCCATTTGTACTTGGACAAGCTGGTAATTGAATCATACAGTTTACAATATTTGCATTCTGCTTCTTTAAACTCTCAGTACCTTTAGTTTAAAGATTTGGAGGCAAGGGAAATCAAGCTTTCCATTTGTACTTGGACAAGCTGGTAATTGAATCATACAGTTTACAATATTTGCATTCTGGTTCTTTAAAATTCTGTTATGGGTTTTTCAGTTTCAGCCAGTTCTGTTTTTTGAAGCAAAAATTTAGTAGGAAAATTTTTTTATAGAAGCTGAAACCAATCAGCTAGTTGTACCTGATTGGCTTTTAAGCCTTTCTCAAGGTGTTCCTTTTGATTTCTTATAGTATCTGAGAACTTCCCTATGCAATGGAATTTATGCAAATAGAATAAACGGAAGCCCAAAAAAAGCATAGATGTTGGAGAGTTTGGATTAAAATGCCTTTGTGGGAGATTGTGTTCACTTCATGAAGTGAGTATTGTTTATAACCACTTTGGACAAGGTGTAGATTTTGAATCGATTATCTTGCATGGTGAATAAATTAATAGTACGATGTAGAATGTGGATTTGCTTTTTACGCCATCCAATTGACGATCAATCAAATGGGATTGGGAAGTTAAAATTGATATAGTTTTAGATGATCATTGTGGATGAGACAGTGAATTATATGCCTAGTCTTGGCGAGGAAGCAAGTTTGCATCACAATGAATAACACTTAGGTAGGATTTAACTATCCCTCAGTATTTTTATTCTCCTTTTCTCCCTTAGTCTTTTACTCTTATCCTGCCATGGCAAGTGTTGATGATCTAAACGTGCAGTTTCTTGTTCATTAGCACTTTGGGAAGATCAATGAGCCAGTCCTGTAAACATGCATGAAATAGAATAGGGAATTGTTTTTGAAATCGTAAAACTTCTAGTAGTCTTAACCATCTAAAGGTTCTAAAAGTTTACAAATATAGTGCCTTACTGGATCTTACAGAAGATAAATTATCTTTCCTTGTGAGTTTTATCTTCATTTTTTCTTTTCTTTTTTTTCGATCTCTTTCTGTCATTGCAGTACTCGCAGCAGCCCTTTGCTGGAACAACTTTCGGGCTTACTCACTGGTTAGTAGCTTTTGTAGTATTAAAATTGTTCTCAGTGATTACCTGTTCTTTAGTAGCTTTTCTAACTTCGCTATTTTGTGGGATGCAGACAAAGAAGCTAGTTCCAACAGGAGTTTTTGCTGTCATTAGGTACTTCATAATTGGTTACTGAAACTTTTTATTTATCAAATTTTTAGGTCTCCTTTTTTGCACTTAAACTTCTGCATTTTTTCCCCTTTTATTCATTACAGTGCTGCAATGCTGTGTTTCTATTCATATGTAATGATATCTGGAGGAAACCCACCACCGAAGAAGTTGCGGTCATCTGCTATTGTCAGTTCATAACAAGAAATTGAAAAGATCAGGTAAAGGTGATGGATAGCTTTAGATATAAGGCTGCTTTGTTTATTTAATGCAAACTACACGTTGAGATAGTATGCATCAATTCTTGTGTGAGGCTTTGTTGCTTAGGATACAGTTCTGCGGTGACAATTTCTTTATAGCAATAATGTTTCATTTGACAGAATAACTGGTCTATAGCATCAGTTTGTTTTGTAAACATAGTTATTCAGCATATGAATTATGGAATGAGACTCCAAAATTATGTTGTAAAAGGATGAAATTTCATGACCTTGCTATGCATCTCCATATTTCTAAATGCTCAATTCTGGAGTATCTGAATCTGTTATTGTTTTTTTTTTTCTCTCTCTTTGAATTACTAAATCAAATTAACAATTGAGATGAGGATGTAATATGAACACAAAGAATTATCACCATGGTGGTTTTGCTGCTGCAGGTGCCCTGCTCATATGATTTCTTACAATTCATGTCTATGCATCTGAGTCTCGTTATTCTCCTTTAGCCTTTATTTTTCTTCACTTACTATATTCATTTGCACCTAATTGGAAGTGAAAATTGAAAATGAATGCATAAGCGCTGCTCTTCTCTCTAGGAGAGCTAGGATTTCAGAATCGATGCAAATGAAATGAGTTTTCTGGTCACGTTACAAGTGCACAAATGCATGACCTCATGGTATTTGAACCTGATGCATAGATTGTTGGTTTGATTATACTGGTTGACTTGTTTGCTTCCTGGTTATTCTGTCACTTTTCAGTTAAATCATTTTCTGATATTTTGGTGTGCAGTAACAGTTGACACTCCAGTCGATTGCTTGGTTAATATTATCTTTTCTATTGATGCCATTTCATGGGGTGCTGATACGTGATGCATCACGTATGAATGCCCTAATATTTACTTTTATGCTTCGAGAGTTTGAAATCTAGAATAGTGGAAGCCATTGAAAAGGTAAGCCCTAATGTGATGCCTGCCCTATTTTATATTACGTAGACCTGTGGTTGAGAGATATTGACGCTTCCATCAGCTGCGGAATGGAATATTACTCTCTACTTCACATTAATATCTATTGGTTGTCTGCCATTTGTATGCTTTTAAACTTGTGTTTTCCTTGGTAAGTGGGACGATGGGCTTGACACCGTTTAAGTTAATGGGATGAGGGCCATGGTTATTGTGAAAGACATGGTAGATCACACTTCGCTAAATCTAGAATGTTAGGTTTTGGCATGCATATACCTGGGAACATGAACAGTGGACTTGTATTTCTGTTCCCAAATCAATTCAAACTTTATGGTGGGTGAAGCAGTAAGAGTTAATCTATACATGTACTTGGTGTGCTTTAAATGGTTTCTGGGTCCCAGGATCCAGAGATATTATCAAATCATCAAAGGAAAAATTCCAAGAGCTGTGAATGGTAATGTAAAACATGTCGCATGCAGGGTTCTTGTGAGTTATTTAAGAACTCTGCAATTGGGTAGGCTGTCAATGGATTAGAAGGTCAACAGATGGTTTTGCTATTTGCTTTTAGGCTTCCTTGTCCCTGTAAAATCTTGCTGATTATCATTACCACCTCTCTTGTGTGCCAAGTGTGTGATGAGTTGTTAGTCTTGAGTTTGAAATCCTTTAAGCAAAAGATATAGGGATCCTTGTTCCTAAAAGTGGAACCACATGATTTACCAAAATGTAGATGATAGAGCTGCTAGTGGCTGATCATATATACATATATATATATATGCTGTTTCTCTCTTGTAAAACACTTGTTGAAGCACTGGCCGTGAACGACTATTGAGTATTGATGCGTTGATGGTTACCTTCGTTCTTCGCTTAAAAATTAGGAACTCGTAGACGCTTAGCCTACTTGGAGGCCTCTGGGCCTCCTTTTAAGTATGCCTTCAATTTACCCCTTAACCTACGCTCTTTTTTTTCTTTTGGAACCCATACTTCAAAAGCGAGTGACTTTGGGTTGGGCCTAAAAATATAACCGATAGGTTTTTTGGCAGGTGCTCCGCGTATTATTTAATTGTTTTATTGTATTTTTTATCTAATAAATTATTTTAATTATTTATAATTAAATATTTCTTGTATTTATTAAATTAAATGTTTAGATTTAAAATCTGATTAGTTTTATGTAAAAATTGATATCTTTTTAGCTTTAATAAATTATTTTGAATTATTTATAAGTAAATGTTTTTAGTATTTATTAAATTAAATTGTTTGGTTTTAATTCTGAATAGGTTTTAGGAGTTTGCTCCACGTATTATTCAATTGTTTTGTAGCATTTTTTTTATAACTCTAATAAATTAATCTTAATGATTTATAACTATTTTTAGTATTTATTAAATTAAATTGTTTGGTTTTAAAATCTGAATAGTTTTATATGAAATTTTATAATTTGTAATTAATTTATTTTGTTTGATTTTTAATTGTATTGAAATAAAAAATAGACGTAAAATAGTCATTCGTTAGGATATATATGAATATGTTGCACGTATGTGTTGTTATTAGAAAATTCCAGATCTTTCTTGTAAAAATAAAAAGAAATAAAAAGAAAAAATCGAGTTTCATTGTTTATTATAATATACACGGACCATTGTTTTAAATAAAAACAAAAAATTAAATGTTATTTTGTCATTTCATTCTAAAATTTAAATTTAATTAGTTTAAATTATGATGAAAATAAGAATGATCAAATTATCAAAATATAAATATGATATGTTGGGAATTGGGGATCTCTTATACCTAGCAAATATAATTACATATAAAATACAAATATGATAATATATAGTTTAATCTTGTTTTTAAATTCTAATTTTAATCACATATATTTAGTAAATATCTATATTTATTACTATGATTGCTACAATCTTTCTAAATTATGTTTTCAAAAGGAATCATTTATTTTAATAAAATTTATTTATATTTTATAAATATATAAAGTGCATTATCTATCTTTACACTAATCGAATTCAACCTCGAAGTTCGCACTTCAGCTTGGCACTTGTCCTGTGAGTATTGTAAAGAGGAGATAATTGTCATAACTCAAAATTTCTCTTTGTTTTTTTTTTTTAATATATATATTTGTTTCTTATCTTATTTATTTTACTTTGTAATTTACTACCAAAAAAAAAAAAAAAGGAAAAAGAATCATATATATTACAAAAAGTAGAAGAAGAAGAAGAAGAAGAAGAAGAAGAAGAAAGAAAATGATTAAGGAGATAACCTTTGAAATCTCTTATAAAAACAACACTTGCCATTCATTTTTAGCATAGTTGCAAGAATCTATATGAGTTCCTTATCTCACAAAAAACCCAATCTCTCACTCATCTCTTTCTCTACCCACCACCAAGCTTCCTTTCCACTCGACCGATTACAACAACACCCTTCACACATCCGACCACCCTCAATCATTCTAAAAACCTCCACAAAAAAAATCACGAAAATCACCAATTGAAAAAAATGCCAAATAGCCTCTAAGAAAACCTAAAACCCATCAATTTGATCCATTTACTCGCGGTGACTTCCTTTTTCAAATTGATCACCTTCTAGTCGATTTTCACTCCAACCACCACCACTAACGGGCATCCCATCACCAAATCCGTCAATCATGACTAATTAGAGAAGGGTGAGACCTTGGAGGAGGTTAGAATTGAGGAAAGAAAATTGGTAACCTAACTCGATTTTGTACTCGATAAATTCTCGTAATTTTGGCCAAAACACCAACTCCCACCATCACGGACTTAGTCGACTGACTTCCTTGAGACTTTCCCATTTAGAATTGCGACCAAAAGTCATCGAAAAATGGATTAATTGAAGAAGAACCTATTTTGTGAAACCTAAAAAATTTGATCGATTTCAGCCAAATTGAATCCCTTAACCACCACAAAAACACTCCTCTCGAGTCTCACGAGTCGATCGGTATTTTGAAAACCCTAATCATTGTCAAAATCATCATCGGGAAGAAGAGGAGATAGGGTCAAAATTTTCAACCGTTTGATCTCCCTCCTCCGATGTCATCTATAGCTATCACCACCTTTGTTCGGTTGGCGACGAGCTCCTCCACCACACGGAGTGGCTCATGTGCTCGAAGGGTGGTTGGAAGGTGAACGGACACTCGACAATGGTTGTTCAACTCCTAGCGGCATTTTGGTCATTTTTCAATAGCATCGTAGGGGCATTTTGGTTAGTTTTTAATGACCATTTGGTTTGTTTTCGTTACCTATTTAAATTTATGTGTGCAAGATTTTTTTAATTACTATTTTATACTTAATTTAGATTTAGTATTTTGAATTTCTTAAATTTATTTAGTTAATGTCAATTTTAGAATTTATTTGAATAATTAAATTAGGTAATTAATAGGTGAATTAATTGTCGAGTCTCCTATTCTTAGGGACTCATGATGATTCCTCACCGATAAAAAAAATTAAAAAAAAAAGTTAGGAAAATAAAAAGGAAATGTTAGAAGAAGAAGAAGAAGAAGCGTTAGGAAAAGAAAAGAAAAAGAGAAAAAGAAAGAAGAAAAAAAGAGAAAATGTTTAAGTAAAAAAAAGGCTAAGAAAAATTAGAAAAGTCTTCTATTTGATAGGGACCGTTGTTAGGAAAAAATCACTTTATTAATTAGATAATTTTTCGACATAATAGTTATGTCGAGACTTACAATCAATCCGATATTTGAATTGACGTGTCTCCCGATAAAGGGATCTAATGACTAGTTCAATACGATGCCAAATAAAAAATAAAAAACTTAATTTGATTAGAAAAAACTTGAGGTTTAAATCAAAAATTATTTGGCATAAATAAAATACTTTAGTAGATGAATTTTAGAACTAAACTAAACGTGGTATCTTTCTTTGAAAAAGATGCTTGTGGGTGATCGATATCTTTCTAAAATGTAAGCAACTCATTACCCTATAATCTCTTGTTCGAGTGCTATTTTTAGGTTTTTAGTTTTTACAATACTAGGTTATGACTCGTGAACTCAATAATAACTCACATCATTAGAGTGAATCATAAATAATCCAAGCACGGATTCAAACTTGTAAAAAACAAACTTTAAACATGAATTGAATTTTTTAGGAGTTCCGTCCGACGTCGGATAGTGACAATTGAAATAAAACTTTTATTCAAACTGCTATTAACTTTTAGTGTGATAATATAGCATTAGAATGAATCATTTTATTTGAAAGAGTTATAGTTAATTACATGTGATGTGAATAGAACTAATAGTATAGGTATGGATAAAAATTTTATAAATCTTTATTTTAGTGAGCAAAATTTTTCAAAGGAAATAATACAAATTTTATAGATCATTTTGTCCACATGAGTAAAAAGTAATACATAAGACAAAAAATCAAAAAAAAAATCTATAAAAAAAATAAAGATCTAATTTAATAATTTGATGAACTTTGATGTAGTTTTTTTTTTTTTTTCGTTTTAAATTATTGGTATTTTTTTAAAAAATATTTTGTTAGGTAAAATAAAGTGCTAATAATATAGTATATAGGTTAGGGGTGATTTATAAAACTTATTTTATGTTATTTAGGGTATTTTCTGATTAATAAATAGGAAAAAAAAAAGAGATTAATCTATCTTTTTGGTTTTAATAATTTTTTTTTTTTGAATTTCTTAAATGTTGGTTTTTTTTTTTTTTTTTTTTTTTTTTTTTAATTAGGGGTGAGGTAGAATTTACACATTAATATTGAAAATCTATTATAATATTAGTATTGCTTTAATAACAATAATAATAATTATTATTGTGATAAGATAAAGATTAAATTAATGAAACACCAAGAGGAACTGAGGAAGTGACCACGTGAAGAAAAGCACGCGTATAGGAAAATCTGGTGTAAAATTCCGCTAAACAGGTAAAATCCT